ACAGTTATTGTCTGCGATCAGCTGCGATCAGTTGCAATCAAATGGGATCGTATGCGCTCTGTTCCTTGTATAGAAGATTTTCAAGCTTTCCGCATCTCTCTCCCCAGCCACATTTATAATTTTTCAACTTTGCTGGGCTGGATTAAACTGTTTCGGATGCGATAGCTGAACAGTGTCCACTTAATAATATAGGCGGCGGTCGGGGTGGACAATTAAAATGAAATTCAAGCATAAAGCTACAGTACGGAAAGATCGATTGATAGTCGTTTTATTTAAACTATTATATACATTGGAGAGACATAACAAATTAAGATTCATAGTCTGCTTGAGTGCGAATGCTCTCACAGAAATAGGGATATTGCTTAACGACAAGAATTGTGTTTGAAAGAAAAAGGGAATCTTTTGAGGACGCATAAAATGTTTTACTTGACCCTGATATACCTGGTACGGTGAGAGTACATTCTTCCGTTATGTCTTTTCAAAGAGGAGCCATGAGAATGATCCGTCGATTGATTTTCAAAGTCCCCCATAGTATAAAGTTTACAAAGAACATAATTTGTGTTTTATCTACCTGCTTGTATAATTTGAATAGGCTTTGTCGACCGGGCTTTCTACACCAAAATTATAATTGTTGTGTCTTTTACCGCTAGACCCTTTTTTCTTCACGCGATTGCATCTGATCGCAAATGAATGCTGTTGCAATGAGACTATACACGTTTGTAAACCTTTCGAAAAGGAATCTCCGCCCATGACAGAATCTACTCATACATCCCCATATTATGTTTCCTCGAATCTCAAACGTTAGGGTTCTGTTTTTTTTCTTTTCTTCAAACTATTGAGAACTATCCACAAGCCTCTACGTAACCAGAACACACAGTTATTGTCTGCGATCAGCTGCGATCAGTTGCAATCAAATGGGATCGTATGCGCTCTGTTCCTTGTATAGAAGATTATTAAGCTTTCCGCATCTCTCTCCCCAGCCACATTTATAATTTTTCATCTTTGCTGGGCTGGATTAAACTGTTTCGGATGCGATAGCTGAACAGTGTCCACTTAATAATATAGGCGGCGGTCGGGGTGGATAATTAAAATGAAATTCAAGCATAAAGCTACAGTACGGAAAGATCGATTGATAGTCGTTTTATTTAAACTATTATATACATTGGAGAGACATAACAAAATTAAGATTCATAGTCTGCTTGAGTGCGAATGCTCTCACAGAAATAGGGATATTGCTTAACGACAAGAATTGTGTTTGAAAGAAAAAAGGAATCTTTTGAGGATGCATAAAATGTTTAACTTGACCCCGAAACACCTGCTACGGTGAGACTACATTCTTCCGTTATGTCTTTTCAAAGAGGAGCCATGAGAATGATCCGTAGATTGATTTTCAAAGGACACCATAGCAATATAAAGTTTACAAAGAACATAATTTGTGCTTCATCTACCTGCATGTATAACTTGAATAGGCTTTGTCGACCGGGCTTTCTACACCAAAATTATAATTGTTGTGCCTTTTACCGCTAGACCCTTTTTTCTTCACGCGATTGCATCTGATCGCAAATGAATGCTGTTGCAATGAGACTATACACGTTTGTAAACCTTTCGAAAAGGAATCTCCGCCCATGAAAGAAACTACTCATACATCCCCTTATTATGTTTCCTCGAATCTCAAATGTTAGAGTTTTGTCTTTTTCTTTCCTTCAAACTTACCCTACAACATTGAGAACTATCCACAAGCCTCTACGTTACCAGAACACGCAGTAATTGTCTGCGATCAGTTGCAATCAAATGGGATCGTATGCGCTCTGTTCCATGAAACTCATGTGAGCGAGAAAACACACATGTATTTGTGTTTATTTATTTGAATATTGTTTCTTTATTAAAGTTTTCCAGCAAGACAAAGTGTAAGTTGGTTTGTAACTTTGTTAATTGTACAACTCAGATTAAAACATGGAGATACAGTGAGTTCAAACATTCATGTATTTGATTATTGTTTGTTTTTTGGGGTCAGATTTGACTCATTTCAGACTCAACAAACGGATACAAACATACACTTGGAACAATCCCCAGGACTGAAACAGGAATGAAGAGCATATTTTATGAATTGGGCCAGTTTAGATACAAATTTTGTGATAGGCTATGATTTGAACCTCTTGCATGCAAAACTGTCTGGCTGTCTTTTCCTGTGTCAGTTTCGGTCCCTTCTTTGGTTAGTAAAGAGACCACTTTGTGCCCGGGACTACCTGTACAATTTGTCAACAATCTTCACATTGCTAGCAAGTTTTACAGGCAGTTGAAAAACCTCATCAGCTGGGAAGCAGAGAGTGTTGTCTCAACACAACATTGTAAACCATGGATTAGTATAAGGTGAAAAGATATGAATGGAATGATGTCGCTGAAACACATGTATTAAAGCATTAAAAACTGAGAAATAGCAGGCCAAAGAGGGCGAGAAAAAAAAAAAAAAAAAAAACATTAAAAACTGAAAAATATCAGCCCAAAAAGGGCGAGAAAAAAAAGAAAAAAAAAAAAAAAAAAAAAGATGATTATTTTCCGACCGACCCATGTTTTAGCACCTAAGGCACAATATATTTTTATTTTGTAGGCCTCATAGTTAATTACGTCACGGATTTATACAATTGGCATTCGGAATGTCGCCAGAATGCCCCACTCAGAATCCATTGTTTTGTTAGAACAGAATATAAAACAATGAAAATACACTTTACAAACAAATATGCAAGTTTTAATAAGTGAACCCATAATTATTTACAAAAATTTAAGTACAAAATAGAATCATAGTGACAAAGTGAGGTGGAGAAGAAGAAAAAAATCTCACTTTTTATTTCTCTAGCGCAAGTGATATTTTCTTTATTCGTTTCTTTCTTTCCGTCGGCTTAATTTTTGTCGTGAAAGCCGGTAATATCAGCGACACTGCATTGTTTTCACCAATCTCTTTCTCTCACTTTTTATTTCTCTAGTGCCAGTGATATTGCAATTCATTTTCTTTATTTATTTCCGACGGCTTAAGTTTTATCATGAAAGCCGGTAAAATCAGCGATATTTAATCGTTTTCGCTTCTATCTCTCTCACTTTTTGTTTCTCTAGCGCAAGTGATATTTGAATTAATTTTCTTTATTCGTTTCTTTCTTTCCGTCGGCTTAATTTTTGTCACAAAGCCGGTAATATCAGCGACAACTAATTGTCTCCGTAGGGGCAACAAAGTCTTGTCGATAATTATTGTTTTTAGATCTCCGTAGGGGCAACAAAACCTTGCCGATACTTATTGTTTTTAGATCTCCATAGGGGCAACAAAACGTTGCAGATAATTATTGTTTTTAGATCTCCGGAGGGGCAACTAAACCTTGCCGATAATTTTTGTTTTTAGATCTCCGGAGGGGCAACAAAGTCTTGCCGATAATTATTGTTTTAAGATCTCCGTAGGGGCACCTAAGTCTTGCCGATTATTATTGTTTTTAGATCTCCGTAGGAGCAACAAAACCTTGCCGATAATTATTGTTTTTAGATCTCCGTAGGGGCAACAAAACCTTGCTGATAATTATTGTTTTTAGATCTCCGTAGGGGCAACAAAGTCTTGCCGATAATTATTGTTTTTAGATCTCCGGAGGGTCAACAAAACCTTGCCGATAATTATAGTTTTCAGATCTCCGTAGGGGCCACAAAGTCTTGCCGATAATTATTGTTTTTAGATCTTCGTAGGGGCAACAAAACCTTGCCGATAATTATTGTTATTAGATATCCGTAGGGGCAACAAAACCTTGCTGATAATTATTGTTTTTAGATCTCCGTAGGGGCAACAAAGCCTTGCCAATAATTATTGTTTTTAGATCTCCGTAGGGGCAACAAAACCTTGCCGATAATTATTGTTTTTAGATCACCGTAGGGGCAACAAAGTATTGCCGATAATTATCGTTTTTAGATCTCCGTAGGGGCAACAAAACCTTGCTGATAATTATTGTTTTTAGAAGTAGAAAATTAAAAAAAAAGCAGGCATGCATGATCTAGATAATCTTCAAAAAGGGAAAACAATCAACGTATTAATGAGGAAAACAAAATTGAAACGGGAGAGATATTTTTAAAACACCCCCACTTTTTACTGCCGTTTTGAACGGAATCGAGCGCTTTTGTAATACTGCCGTACAGAATATCGCGCCTCTTTTCTGCCGTAGAGGACAGTATGCGCATTCAGTGATAACGCATAACAAGAGCGCGCGATCGCGCTCATAGTCGCGCATTTTGAGCGCGATCAATTGCGTGCGATCAGTGTGACGTTGATCGCAGGCGGAACTGTATTAAGCAATCTCCAATAAATATTTGTATTAAGTCTTCATTAATGAACTTATTCTTAGGGCTACCAGCGTTTGCCGCATATTGTTTAAAGTTTTGCTAACTTCATTTTGTTTAAAGTGTGGTATTTGATGTAAAATGTTATTTAAGTTGGTGCTAGAATTTCTAGCACCCTTTATGACCACAAATTGAGAGTATTGTCTTTACCTTAGCTGTTGGTGAGGTGTCGTGATCCTTACCTTTTCACCGTATTCTGAATCTTCTCCCCCTCTCCCCTCCTCCCTCTCCCCTTCCCTCCCCGCCCCCTTTTCCATCTCTCTCTCACTCTCCCTCCTCTGTCTGTCTGTCTCTCTCCCTCTCCTTCCCCTTTCTCTTCCTTCCCCCTTTCTCTCTCACTCTCTTCTCTCTCTCTCTTCTCTCTCTCTCTCTCTCTGTCTCTCTCTGTCTCCCTTCCCCTACTCTCCTCCCTCTCTCTCCCTTCTCTCTCACTCTCCCTCTCTATCTTGCTCTCTCTCTCTCTCTCTCTATCCAGCCTCTCCCCTTCCCCCTCTCTCACTCTCCCTTACTCTCCCTCTCTCTCTTACTCTCTCTCTCTCTCTCTCTCCAGCCTCTCCTCCCCTTCCCCCTCTCTCACTCTCCCTCCTCTCTCTCTTACTCTCCCTCTCCTTCCTCCCCCTTTCTCACTCTCACTCACTCTTTTCTCTTCTTTTCTCTCTTTATCGAGTTTAGGCCAAGCTGCAGAGGGAGAAACAGCTGAAGATTGCAGAAGAGAAGAAGATGAAGGTGGAGAAAGCTAAGGTCATTGAGGTCAAGGTCAACATGTGGATTGAGGAAAGAACAACTAAGGAGCAGGAATCGAGAAAAGCCAACTGGAGGCTAGAGAAGACAAAGAAACAACGTGAAGCAGAAGAGAAGAGGGGAGTCCAGGAGAAAGCAAAGGTGAGTGTTAAAGGGGAAGTCCACCCTGATATTAAGTTGCTTTTAGTAAAAGCAGGAAAATGAGAGAAACAGGTCAGTGAAAGTTTGAGCAAAAACTGACTAGAAATAAGAAAGTTATATATTTTCAAAGTTGTCATCATTGAAACACAAATTGGCAACACTGTGACATATCTTGCAAGCTCCTCTCCAATTTGATAAACTTTCTTTTTCTTACTTATTGGTTAGGGAAAATATGATTCATACAGGGGTTGTATAAAAACATCTTTGAAAAAATTGTATCCCCCAGCAGTATGCCGGTGGGGTACTTTGGATTCAGCAGCATTACGCCGCCGCACAGTGGGCCAGAATCGCATCAAAGTGTGTCAAAATTCAAAATTGGCGAATGTGAATTTTTACATTTTTTTCATTCGCTTGGGGAAGAAAACATTCTAAAGAATATTTTCCCACCAATATTTTAATATTTAGCGAGTTTTAAAAGTGTCATATACCCCTGCGAACATTGGAAAATCTATATGTTGCTCCAAAATGATAAAAGAGGCAACTTTACAATAGGTGTTGAGAATTTATGAAGGGAAAAGCAATCAACTTGATATTGCGTGCACTTCTTGCCTATTGGTAACCCAATTAGAAAATACAATGACCAAATTTATGGAAGCTTCATTTTGGGAAAAATGAGCATTAAATTTCACCAAAAAAAGGAAAAAATTGCAATTTTTAATAAAAGTAAGCATGTTTATTTGGATTCCGGCCGATTCCCGCAGTGATGTTAATCTCAAAATGTCCGCCCAAACCTAAGCTTTCCATGTATGGTATTTCTTTTTGCCAGAATTTGCAACACTGCATGTGCAGGCGCTTTTCCTCCCCACGTCCATCGATTATTATTAGGCATAATCGGTACACATTTGTATTACGCACAGCCGATTCAACGCTCGTCCACATAACCATGGCAACGCACAGTGGGCCAGGGAGGAACCAAAGTGCTCCAAAACTTATTTTGGTGATTTTTTTTTTCTTCAATTCTTTTCTTAACCAGTTGAACTGTAATACATTGAGGAATACCTCAGTAAAATATTTAATTCCAGTAAGCACAACTAGGGTATAAATTTACTCCTTCAAACATCAAAATACCACATATTCACAGTTTTAGTGCAAAAGTGACTTATTTTATAAATCTTTCAATTTAACATGAAGTTCTTAAGTTATTGATATGAAATTGCTCTCACATATTTCTGATAGTTCATTCTGTTGCATGAATCGGTTAAAATGTATATAAACACAATCTTCATGATATATTAAAGGTTAATTCACTGAAAAATGGACTAATTATCCATGTTTTTTATAAATCCAGAGGAAACGTTTAGATTTCCGCAGAGTTCCGCTTGTATTTTAATACCACAATTTTGTCTGATGTCTAAGCTTTAAGTTGATACCAAATTTGGCTGCCCGGTCTTGCCCGTTGTCATGTTAGAGCCGATTCCCCTTGCCACATTGTCCCGAAAAATATGTTTGTTTTTAGTCGGCGCTCTTACTGCATCATTCCTTGACGGATTTCTTTCAAATTTTGTATCGAGGTGTATCTTTGGATAATCTACACACCTATAACTGTTGGTGATGCTGCCCTCAGTGTTCCGTCTTTTATAGGGTAAAAGGCCATATTTTATTTTTGTGTGCACTCTAACTGCATCATTCCTTGACGGATTTCTTTCAAATTTTGTATGGAGGTGTATCTTGGTATAATCTACACACCTATAATTTTTGGTGATGCTGCCCCCTGTGTTCCGTCTTTTACAGGGTAAAAGGCCATATTTTATTCTTGTGTGCGCTCTAACTGCATCTTTCCTTGACGGATTTCTTTCAAATTTTGTATCAAGGTGTATCTTTGGATAATCTACACACCTATAACTTTTGGTGATGCTGCCCCCAGTGTTCTGTCTTTTACAGGGTAAAAGGCCATATTTTATTGTGTGCGCTCTAACTGCATCATTCCTTGACGGATTTCTTTCAAATTTTGTATCGAGGTGTATCTTGGTATAATCTACAAGCATATAGATTTTGGTGATGCTGCCCCCAGTTTTCCGTCTTGTATAGGGTCAAGAGTTCATATTTCGGTGGGTGTCTAGTTTGCGCTCTGCAGATCATATTTCATGATGGATTTCTTTCAAATTTTGTATAGAGAATTAGAAATGTATCTTGTTACCAATCGACACTTTGGGTGAAGCTGCCCTCATTGTTCCGTCTTTTATATGGTCAAAGGTCAAATATGTCTTTAATGCGCTCTAACTGCCACATTTCTTGACAGATTTCTTTCAAATGTTGTATGGAGGTATGTCTTAGTACAATCATCTACACCTTTTTAGTGTTTGGTGATGTTTTGATGAGCTGCCCGAAAATGACGAGCTGGCAGTCAAGGACAACCAAATTACTTTTCTTTTAGGCCTAAGTTTTGTGTAACTTGTTTAATTATCATTATCATGTGATTTTTGCAGAGTTTGCAAATGCAAATTTGATTGCTCCATATGTATTATTTTATTGGGGATAATGAGAGCGTGGGTTTGTGAAGTAAGTATAGAATAAGACCACTTCCCGTAGGCAATTTCTATGGCTAACAGGGCTCTCTTAAAGAGAAGGTTGAGTTCTGGGAAGAGGTGGACAATAATTTGTGAGCATTAGACGAGGACAATAATATTGGTCCAACTCATTCGCAATTTAATTTGAATTTGATTACTGAGGATTTTGTATTGAAACAGATTGATAATCTGAGTATAGATAAAGCAACTGGCTGTAAACTTTTAAAGATGACGAAGAATGATAAATAAATAAATAAATAAATAAATTATCATTGTTATCATACAAGTCTGGAAGAACATTAGATAACAAATGTTTCCTGAAAAGCATGGCTCTTCAAATGCCTTAATATTCTAAATATTTCATGTAACAGTATAAAAATCAGGACGGATTTTTAAGCCAAATGTTCATGTAGTCCCATATACAGGCCTTAAATTTCAACATTTTCAGGGCAAGGCCACTTTTCTGTAGGGCACATTCCTATATTACAGCACAAATAAGAAGAATAGGAAAGGGTACAAAAAATCTCCAAGGCCAAGCATTGAGGCCAATCAAAGGGGCATCCACGGCCATGGCCTTGGTGGCATTGGATTAATTTAAGCCCTGCATATACATATTTCTGTGTATAGTGCTTGTAACTTTACCAAGACTGGTCCACATTTGTTATCATTTTGATGATTCCAGAACCTTCCAGTACACAACTTTTCTGATCGATTCCTCACCGTTTCTTTCACAATGCAATCGCATGACCAGAAATCAACTTTATCTTAAGCCCTATCTAGCCTTTGGGGGGGGGGGGGGGTCTTCAGAAGCCCCCCCCCTACATTTTTATGCCTCCGCCACCGAAGGTGGTGCCGGAGGCATCATGTTTTCGGGTTGTCCGTCCGTACGTCCGTCCGTACGTCCGTCCGTACGTCCGTCCGTCCGTCCCGTTTGACCGTTATCACAATATCTCAAGAACCATTTAAGATTTAAACTTAAGACTCGGGAATAGTATTTATCACCATAGGAAGACGATCTGATTAGATTTTGGAGTACGTAGGTCAAAGGTCACAGGTCACAGAGGTCAACTTATGAAATTCCTTGTATTGAGTTTGTTAGCGCGATATCTCAAGAACCATTTGAGATTTAAACTTCAAACTTAAGGATAGTATGTATCACCATAGGAAGACGATCTGATTAGATTTTGGAGCACGTATGTCAAAGGTCAAGGGTCACAGAGGTCAACTTATGAAATTCCATACATTGAGATTGTTATCATGATATCTCAAGAACCACTGGAGATTTAAACTTCAAACTTAGTGATAGTGTGTATCACTATAGGAAAACAATCTGATTACATTTTGGGTCACGAGGTCAAAGGTCAAAGGTCACAGGGCTCATTATGTATGCAAAAACAGCTTGTGATCGCGTTATCTGAACAACCGATTGATGGATTCCTGCCAAACTTTGGTCATGTATGTATCTTGCAGAGCTGATGAACTGATTAGATTTTGGGGTCACGAGGTCAAAGGTCAAAGGTCACAGGGCTCATTATGTATGCAAAAACAGCTTGTGATCGCGTTATCTGAAGAACCGATTGATGGATTCCTGCCAAACTTTGGTCATGTATGTATCTTGCAAAGCCAATGAACTGATTAGATTTTGGGTCACGAGGTCAAAGGTCACAGCGCACATTGTGTATGCAAAAACAGCTCGTGATCGCCTTATCTCAAGAACCGATTGATGGATTCCTGCCAAACTTAGGTCATGTATGTTACTTGCAGAGCTGATGAACTGATTAGATTTTGGGGTCATGAGGTAAAGGTCAAGGTCATGCGGCTCATTATGTATGCAAAAATAGCTTGTGGACGCATTCTCATTAGAACTGACAGATGGATTACTATTTAACTCAGGAAATCTTGCAGAGCCAATGAACTGAGTAGATTTTAGGGTCATGAGGTCAAAGATCAATAGGTCATATATGTATATGAGAAATTGCTTGTAATCACGATATTCTGAGAACATGTTAATGGATTACAATTGAACTTGAATTTGAAAAATTTCTTCCGTTTCGGTTTGTAAAATTGCTCTATGACGGAGGCATCATTTTCGACTGCGCGCAGTCGAATTCCATCTAGTTCCTGATACATTTTTAACGCAAAAGAATCTTGTGCTGAAATGTATAACTTTTTTCTGGCGCATCTTTTGAAATAGATTTTTCAAAAAACGGACAAAGTCACATGACCTTTTGTCTGTGCATGTCGGCCCAAATCACTCATTTTTGTGATTTGTGTACAAAACATATGGAAATCTCATTTTTCCAAAAAAGAGATAAAACATTGGTTATTTGGTCTTGTTTATACTTATTTGGGGGGTCAAAATAGTTGAATTACAGTTAGAAATGAAATAAAACAACAAAATACATGAGTTAAAAAACAAGGAAATACATGAGA